ATAATAATAATAATAATAATAATAATAATAATAATAATAATAATAATAATAATAATAATAATAATAATAATAATAATAATAATAATAATAATAATAATAATAATAATAATAATAATAATAATAATAATAATAATAATAATAATAATAATAATAATAATAATAATAATAATAATAATAATAATAATAATAATAATAATAATAATAATAATAATAATAATAATAATAATAATAATAATAATAATAATAATAATAATAATAATAATAATAATAATAATAATAATAATAATAATAATAATAACAAATAATAATAATAATAAATAATAAATGATCAGAATAGTTGTTTAATTGGAAAAATCAGTCGAAATGATTTTCGGCAATTACAGTTGCATATGGCTTAATCAGTTATCAAAAATCATTTCCCAAGAAGTTATGCTAATGATATAATTCTCCTAGCAATCTTTATTCTCTTCACAAAAACGATTATCATTTTTATTTTTGAAAAGTATTCTATCCTTATTTATTTAATGATACCTGGCCTAGTTTATTTTTCTCATCGCTTGCTTAGTTCGAGGATTATTTTCGCTATTTTCTCCTTTCTTTACTTACTTTACTATCCTTAAACAATTATTCTTAATAAAGAATCACAATAATTCAATATATATTGTCATTGGGCTGAACTTCATCTATGCTAGCAAAAATGCAAAAATCTTACATTATACATTATATCTCAATAATACATTAATTCGGTAATAATAAATTAAGCCTATAATACTTTTAGTTAATTGAAGGTAGGTAGATAGGTAAGTAAACAACTTAAATGCCTACCAGTGTCTTGTAGGATGTGATATTACCTTGTAAACGAAGTAAGACTAATGGTTGTATGTGAGATCAAAATTTTAATATCAGATAACCTAAAATAGATGCATACAATTCATCATTCATGCAAATTTAAATTATCCGTTACATTTTAAAAATTTAAGTTCATCATTTATTTAAATATTTAAGTATGACAAAAAATTTTAAGATTCCTTAAAGTACATTTTATGGAAATAAAAAAAAAAGTGAAAATAATAACCTCGTGGTTTACCGGTTGTAGTATCAACACTAAGCATGGCATCTCTTAAAATGGTTAGTGATATCCAATGAGGTGGATATTTGAATCGAGCAATATCCATGATAAGAACCTGATCACTTTCTTCATGATAAGCACCTAACGGTGAGAAATGACCTCAAATTACTGATCATATCATCTGATAGTTGATCGTATAAAAATGATAAATAAATATTCGTTCACAAGAGAAAAGATCAGTTATGCAAATACCTGTACCAGTTTGACCCAATACTTGACGATTATAATTAACCACAAGGATGGTATCGTCAACTGTCATAGATCGTTTTATATTTTCCCGGAAGATACTCAGGAATTCTGAAGACAATAATTTGAAAGAATTATTACTAAAATTAATGTAAAACCATATGAAATGGTATCAGAGAGTACCACTCTTTCTTGAAATATTAATGTTAAAACTAACCTTTGACATTTTAATTTCATTTGATAATTATGGTATTAACATTGAAATGCTATATCCTTCAAGATTTTTAACCTCTAAAATAAAAAAAAAATTAAAAAAACCTGATTTTGATTCGGCGTACTTTAATTCGGTGGAAAGTTTGTTGCATTCCGCTAAACATGCGAATTGTGATAATGTTATTCCAGTTTTCTTGATGACATCAAGTGGTATACAACAATCAAGCATACTTTCATGATAGAAACGCCATGGTGACTTCCATACTCGACCTGGATCCACTTCCAATGCATTTAGTACCATTACTAAACAATGCACTTTGATCTTTTGTGACATAGGGCAACCATGAAATATTTCCATTTTCAAAATTCCGCTAGTTATAAAAAAAAATTTTTCAGTAAAAAACTCTAGTCATCTTTTTTTTTGAGCAAACAATATTTGTTAATTTCTTGAAGATCAATAAAATGACTTCCTAATAATTCAACTATTGAAAAGTTTCGATCTAAATTAAGATGATACCAACAAATTTTGCAATTAAAATGCTTTTTAATGTTTTTTTTTTTTGTTTTTAAAAAGCAGACCAGAATATTTACCCAAAGTAGAAAGGCCACAGTATGATGGTTCGCCTTGAGTCAAAAAATGTGACGCTAATCGGAAGTAAATGTTAGCATGTCCTAAAATACATCAAACTTTGACATAGTAATCAGAATTAATAATGAGATAGGAATCAAAAAGAAGGATATTATTAGATAAGGATAAGGTTAGATACGGATATTGAAATAAATCTGTAATCATTTTAAACGGAATTCATTATATTTTAGTGATTGCGATTGAATGCATTGAATTAATAAATTAATGAAATGCATTAAATTATTCAAATTGTGAATGTAACTGAAATTAACAATCAACTGAATTAAATAATGATTAATCATTATAATCTACAATAAAGCGAAATAGAAAAGAAGGAAAAGAAACTATTGGAAATTGATAAAGCACAAAAATGAAAAAACGATTACAATGCTAGGGGGAATTTTAACAGAAAAAGACTTTGGTAAAATGAAAAAATGAAAAAAAAAAAGGAAATTCTTTAACTAAAATTTTTTTTTTCTATGGAATGGAATAGTTTTCCATAAATATTACGTCAATACTTTTAAAAATTCCATTCTTTCTTTTAAAAATTCCATTCATTCCATTCTTTTAATTATAAAAAGTTAAAAGTCTTTTTTTAAATTTTAAAACATATTATTGCTTGATTTGAAAATAAAGTTAAAATTTTCATTTACAACTAGATGAATAGCTGTGTTAAAATTTCAAACCTTTAACAAGACTTTCGATGAAAAGTTTCTTGCCTTCAGGTGAGGCAAAATTAATACAAGATGATGGTAATTTTCGACGATAGAAATTTTGAGTTGATGTTGAACGATGTTGCATATATCCCATGCTGATAATAAATTGATGATAATGTTATTATCAATGATTAAAGCAGTAAATTGTTAAAAATTGATAAAGACATCAAATCGTTGTGATAATGGAAAAAAATTTGCACATTGCAACAATCATTATCAATTTAACTTTGTATGTGATCATTGTTATTTGTTAGTTTACAAATTAAAATCAATCATTAAATAATCATCATTTAGAATCATCTTTGAATGTCTATTCCTCAATTTCAAATTCGGAATATAATTCTGTCACAATTAAGCAAATGGGCATGAATCACCGTTGCTTATTTATCGTTAATTTTTTAAAATACCAAAATATGATGATTGAAAATATTCAGTTCCTTATTTTAATATATGTGTAATTTATGATAAATTTTACGAGCAGATAGATGACTTAGATTTAAATGTAAGCAAACCTAGATTTAATCAATCAAAATTTACAGTAAGCACATTCTATTCGATTAATTATTGCTAATCACTAATCACTAACCACTTTTCTGATAAAAGAGGGAATTCTTTTCCCTCCGATATTGAAATACTGTGTTATGAAAATTTAAAAATTCAGATAATTTAACTGTAATGAATTCGGACAAAATCAAACATAAATTTCATTACTTTCTATTACAAATATCTTATTTTTTGATGGTATCGAACTTTGAAATTTTCGAATTTTCATTTAAATATATTAAAAGTTAGTATACATACCAAGAAGAGAATAATAATAAAGATGATCTTTGTTCAGGTAATATCAAATTAATCCAACTGAAATGTGAGAATGTCGGATTGACAGGATAGAAATATGGGAACATTAAATTTACATCATCAAAATGTAACAATTTTGGGAGATATTTCCTGATAATCTCTGGGAGAAAATGGTACAATCGCATAATGAAACATTGGCCAAATTGAATTGTTGCTATTATATTGCAAGAGCAATTAAGGAACCGGTTTTGCTTTTTAAGATACTTCTAATTCGATCTAAAAAGTAACCTAAAAATTGAGTTACCTGAATGAGTCACCACTTTATAACGTTAATTTTATTAAGTGATTGTTATTTTAGTAGACAATATTTAAGCTGATCATATTTTTTAGTCATTCTAAGGCATGTTCTTAGAAAATATCATTACCAGTGACGATCACTTACAATCACCTATTATTATCACTTAATAATAACTATTTCTAACAATGGTGATACGGAAGATTGGTGATGATAACTTATGATTGATATAATAATGTTAGAAGATTGTAATCATGAATAATATTCATGAATCCTGAATCACTGGAAAAGAAATCGTTTGAAGTAATGATAATAACTTTTCCCAATGATGTTTAAAAATGAAATAATGAATATAAGAAATTACAAATTAAACAATTAATAACTTTTGAATAATAATTACAATAATGGGCCATAAATACATTCATTGTCATAGTCATAGCAAATGGTATGACTGTGACAATTATGGCACCGCAGCGACAACAATCATCCATAGAGCAGGCACTATTTAGAATTCAGTCAGATGATTTTAGTGCGAAATTTCTGGAGTTGAATTGGATGAGGGATAATGTATAATGTGTTGGCACAGAAATACGAGAGAGACAATTTGAAGCAATTTTATTATAAGCACTTATATTTACCTGCATACAATTTCAAATTTATAAGGCACAGAAATAATACTTCACAATTATATTCTCTGCGCCATATATTGGGATCAACGAAAAAAAAAATGACAAAATAATAATATCGTAGACGAAAAACGAAGCATATATCAAGTACCCCAAACAATTCTAAATGGATGAGTCACTAATCGGATCCGGAAAAGTATTGAAACCCTGCAAACGAAGATCAACACATGACTCAGTTCTAAATTTGTAAAATTAGGAAACAAAGCGAGGAAAAATTTTAAAAAATTAAAATCATAAAAATACAACTCTAACAATAAATTCCTCCCTATCTTACTCAGCAGATAACATACAAATACCAAAAGAAACAATAGATTGGAAATCTCAAGAACGTTTAAACAATCACAAGTTAGTTACAAAGATCCCAAATAGAATTTCCCAAATAAAAACATTTCAAAATTTTTTTCCTGCTCAAATATTTTCCTAGATATTACGAAAAGTAATGAAGTTACATCGTTAAATATTCACCATTCCACTCCTTCGGGGACGAAAAAGTGAATTTTTCTCCCCAAATTAAAATTTACCCTTTTAGGTTTTCAACAAAACAAATAAACAATCATTATATGAGATACACTGCTAATTATATAAACAATCGATCAGCACTGCAAAAATAAGAAATAAAATGTACAGATAAAGTTGTAGCACTTGTTCTCAGGAGAAATTCACAGAAATAATGAGTGTGGAAGATGAGGAAAGAAAGGAAATTGAAACATTTACAATAACTTGTTTAGCTTGACCAAACTGCAACAGTAACTTTAATCGGAATGTGAATAATAACTGCGCAACCAAGCCACTGCTTCTATCTGTTCACTAACTTCCACTAGAAAGACTACAATGGTATGTGCAATTATGAACCTCAATAATCCTAACTAACTAATCGACAAAAACAAAGTACTCCTCCAGAGGTGAAGACATCGGCTTCTCGTCATATAATCGCACATCGGTAGACAACTTCTCGAATTCAAGGTCAGCAGTATCCATTTTTTCCGAAGCTTTCTCCGTTAACCCTGATTCCTTTACAGCCATGCTTGATACGTCTAATGAGTCAACTTTCTGCTCACCAATTCTTCCGTCACTCGATACCTTACTCGAAACTTTTGCTGTTAGCTTCTCCGCCTTTACTGTCTCAGTGTTACTGAACGACATTTCCATTCGTTGCTGTTCTAACTTCTTTGCAGCGTCATGAACCTGAATTTATTTCACGCATATCACCTGAGAAAGCTGTAGAAACAATGGCCTAATCACCCATGCCAGTGAGTTTCTTTTGATTTTCTATACGGCAAATTATCGTTAATTTTATCTAAAATATTGTATTAATAAGTGATTTTTAATGTTTTCCAACGAATAACTACATGAAAATTCTTAGACAAGATACCCTAAAAGATATTGCTACTTATTCCACAAAAAACCTGTACCTTCTAATATATTAAAAAAATCTCTCATAATAAATTTTTTTGATTTTTAAAAATTCTTCTTGATTCCCAAGAAAATTTTTGAATCCTCCTTTTTCTCGAAACTCCTAAATTTCATAAATTTCAATTTCAAAAATAACCATTTAAAAATCAGAACAAAAGCAGAGAAGCCAATGAAATTTAACCGCTACAACCTGATGAAGATAATACGGCCCGCCATAATTAATCAACCAATTGTAGGCATATTTCGGTATATTACTTTCAGGATTGTCGTAGTATGAAAGAACATAATCGAATCCTTTGCGATCAAAAGTTTTGTGTGCCCGAACTACCATTATTGATCGATAAGTCTCGACACGTACATATTTCTTTTCACACCGTGGAATAATATTAGCACTGTCTGCTACTGCACAATTTGCTATCACAATACAGTGATCCTTCTCATCAACGTATCTGAATATTCAACACGTTATCGTTTTTGCAAAATGGTATGGTTTTTGCAATAATGCTTCTAACTCAAGATAAGTACAGCGTTGAAATATCCTATATAAAAATTATTTATATATACTTCACTGACGTACTAGAAATTTCGGTGAAGTTCAATCATTTCCAGACAAAAGGAAATTTATACAGCATTCTTTTCTCTCTTTTCATTATCAAAAATCAAATTCCAAATCCAATTTTTATCCATACCTCCGTCTTACAAATACATATTCACGGGGGTACATTGGATAAGGAAATTTAGCAACCCAGTGGATAAGTTCTGAATCGGTATCATCATCTTTCCGAACTAGCTCTAATTTTTCAACATTTGTATCCCACTTCTTTCGGAAAATTAAATCCATTTGAGCATCCACAAAATCACTGGCTGTTATGTCACTGAAATCAGTCACGATTATACAATTTTCCTGAGTAACTTACAAACTTGAAATCTGCATTTCAGAAGAGATGTTTTCAATAGCGATATTTCCTGACAAAACAAAAAAAAAGTGTGAAACTTATATAGCGTTCTTCTCTCCTTCCTACAAAAGTGAAATTTCGAAAGTTTTGGTTATTTCACAAATTTCAAATCCAGTTTTCATTCATACTTCCGTCTCATAAATACAAATTCAATCTCAGAGTGTTGTTTTCGTAAACTTAGCAACCGTATTGCAAAATTAAACTTCAAAAATAGTCTACGGTTGTATATAGTGTAACAGTTCCAACTGAAAATAATCCAGCACGAAACACAGTCTATCTTCGCCACTATTATTCAAATTATCAGAGAGTAAATAACTGGTTAAACTTTTGGTAACACAAGTAGGTTGAGAGCACTGCGGATGATTTCTAACTTAAACCAAGAAGAGCCAGTATTTTGCAATAATGATTATGAGCAAATAACACAATATTAAAACGTCTAAATTAGTAAAGCCATTTGACCATTCCGTGCAGTCGCATATATGCATGGAGGATACGGTTGTAAATCAACACTACCCCTCCACTATTAAAACTGAATTCATCACTTGGTTTAGCTTATGATGATTAAAACCATTTATCTTCAAGGATTAATGAATGGCAAAATTTTTCAGTTAAAATAACCTATGCTTCATCAAGCTGCTCACAATTTGATCTGATATCTAAGTCAAATTTTGAACGAATATGTAAGAAAAAATCATTAATTATAGTTATTCAAACACTGAATCATTTAGTGGTCGTAGAAACACCTACTCGTATGAACCTGAGCAACGAAATTCATATAAACCGGTATCAGCATGTAACCTTCGCAATACTTTCGAATTTCCTTCATTGCGCACTACCTGAAAGAAAAATTTTGCTTCTATTACATGAAATTCATTTTCATTTCTTGACAATGTAGAGAAACAAAAAAGATAACTGTCGAGACACCAAAGAAAAGATAAGAAATGCAAAGCGACCAGATTTTGCGACGAAGTAAAAACAAAAAGTGAGATCCTTTAGATGAAAATATTTACAACTCCGAGATAAAAGTAGAACCAATAAAGAGAAAACAAAAAATCGAATCTATGAGGAAGACTGAAAAAAAAGACGCAAAGGGCCACCAACTTCCCAATCATCGCAGTCATTGTCGGTACTCGTTTTTGCTTCTGTCATTATCACTTCATCTGAGATTCCATTTTGCCGAAAAGAAAAGCTGGCCGCTGTAACAGCCATCAGAAATTGCGGCCGCCATTGAAACCTACAAAACAATAAATGAAATCTATTCTTCTCCATGATAAAATTTATAAGAAGTGAAACAAGTACCAGTTCTTAAATTTGTTATGAAAGAATACTTAGAAGCAGCAATTCCATCCAGAATATCAAACAAAAACTGTATATCTTTCTTTCAATTCTTAAAAGCATGTTATTTCATGAGAATATATTTGATTTCCTTTTTTGAGCATTAAAAAGCGGAACTGTTCTGGTAACTCTTATTGCTGATAGACAAGACATTATATAGTTAGCTGTAGGCTCTATAATGCTTAAAAAAAAGAAAAAGAAACTACCATCGTCGCCATCGCTTTTCATATCCGGTCCAAAGGTTCCATTTGCATAGCTGCATCTTTCTAATCCCTTCAAAAAATAAATGTAATAGCCGATTTCGGATTGCCTGTGATGATGAGCCCATCTGGAACATTAGCTATTGTATTTCAAGGTTTTTAGCTCCAATTATTGTCTTTGTCAATATTCCAAATGAAAGTTTGAGAAATCTGAAAATTGAACGAGAAAGGAAAAAGAATGAATTTAAAATCAGCAAGCAAAAGAAATAAAACCAACTAAATTATACGAAATTATCTTTTTTATTATCCATTGTTTCTAACTTTCATATTTAATGAAATACAAAAGTTAAATTAAATTTAAAGAAATGTGAAATAAATCAAATGTGTTTAGCATTCCCTTGTTAATTAGATGTACGCATTATTTCGTTCTAATTATTAACCTATGAATTCATCCATTTACTATCCATTGCTAAAATAAGGGGAGGTATAGGGAATATGAAAGTGGAAACCGTTTCATATGGATTCATATGAAGTGTTTTTGTTTTTTCCTTCATGATCATTATCATTCCTCATGGAGTTATGAGTTACCCACCAGTTATCGTCAAAATACCAAGTGATAAGATGATAAGATTAGCTTTCCAAACCGATATAAAACCATATATAGTATTCGAAACAGCACTAAGAATGGTAAGCTATTATATACAAAAGGTAGGCAATACATATTTATATAATCCATCGTCATATAACTTAATAACAAATGGGAGAAGGGTGACATGAAACAAAGATAAATTAATAATAGCTTGGAGTCTAATCTAACTACTTTCTTCCCAGAAAAAGTTAGTTTTATTTATGAAATAAAATATAATTAGTCCTTTATTTTATGCTAATATTAACATTTAATAGAAAATTTCGAAAGTTTTTAGAGATAAAAAAAATTCCTTAAAAGGAAAGAAACTATCAATAATAGAACGTGAGAGCATTTTATAGTTTCGAGATAACTAACCATATTTACTGGATATTAATCCAAATTCTCCCGATAATAAATGGTACCAATAACATCTAAAATATTTATTTCCCAAAATACGATGAAACAAGCAAAGTGATAAGCATGGCAATACATAAAACTATCCTATAACATATCAAAGCATCACTAGGACTAATAATTAATTAAAATACAAAGTACAAATAAATAATCATTTGGAATTTAATACTGCAACTACTTATGAGAATATGCAGCTTATCCATTCAGACGACAGATGTTAATGTCATTTGATGTTAATGTCAAGTGATAAAAAATATTTGCTTAGAAAAAAGACTTAGAAAAACATGAATGACCTAGTATTTTAATTTATTTTGACAATATGACCTCATCCTATTACATTAGTATGGATAACTATTTTATCAGATGCAGAACTATTCCATGACCCTTCATAATCTGCCGTTTCAAAATTGTGATTTATATATGAGTTATTTGTAGCAAAAACATAAAATCAATCACTGTTAATTTTTCAGGAGAAGTAAGCTGGAATTAATAGAATTTTTGTAGACCGGATAACAATGTATCTCAAGCATGAAGACAGCTAAACTCTCATTTTGATCCTTTTTAGATGAAAATGATTGAAATTTTTAACTGCTGATATATAAGTAATTTCAATTTCATTTTTTTTTTTTGTTTTCATTTAAAAATTACCTATCATACATAATTTTAATGCGAAAATTCCATTGAATGAATATACAGGATTAATAATGGCTAAAGCAATTTAAAAACACAAAAAAAGTAAATAATAAAAATAAAAAGGATAAAGAGAATCTTCACTGGAAGTGAAATGCCGAGAGATTTATGAAAAGCATGGAAAAAGAGCAGAAAGTAATTGAGAATGTTTAGCATCAAAATAAAAAATAGAACTGCAAGCAATAAGAAAAGGAGGAAATAGTTAGTTGCGACTATAAAAGGACGACAGAAATGGAAGCAAAGAACTCAAAAAGAGGCAATAGATTCAAAAAGGTTAGAAAAAATTTATAAATTTTTAAAATAACTGTCTTAAATAGCATGCGCTTACGAATCAAACATGAAATAACATGAATCAAACCTGAAAAAAATATTCATATCTGACGAGAAACAAATTTTTTTTCGGCAATTCAGATTAAATTCTTTCGTAAGGACGATGAGCTTGCCTCGATTTAAATGGGCATAAAAATGAAGCGAAGTTTCAGCTAGATATATAGATTACGTGATCATACATAGACCATCACTTTCCGTAGCTTGCACAGATGAAGTAATATACTGAATGAAATAATTCAGAGACCAAAAACAACAGCTCTCAACATTCGCAAGATTTCCAATATTCCTATGGAAATTAAAATTTTAAATCAAATATTAGGTAGCAACAAGAATACCGCTGAGCTTGCTGCTCAAGCAATTAGAAACGAAAAATTCCAATTTTCAAAAAAGAATTGAGTAAAAAAATTACATAATATATACTACCACAAGATACGATCACCTTCCATCATTTCTAACAAAATTTAATATAAATTAATGCAATATGAAATCTAAAACGTCGATAGTTTGAACGGAATCGATTTGACTGTTCAATTGATCTATATTTTCAAGACGTTCCTACCAGACTTTTGCACAACCATCGATGAATTTGCATTATATAAATGCAACATCATGCAAATCATTCTTTTAATCGACTTAAAATGTGTGCACCACAATTTCAGAGACCGCAGCAGTTGTTGTAATCGCCCATCTCCACCAACCTATAGCCAAATGTGGTGTCTTTCGCCGTGATTCAATTAATGATCGGAGTTGCGTAAGAGTGTCGGAATACTGATAAGGCCCTGAAAAACAAAACTTCATTAAAAGATACAGGACGTTTCGTTTAGAATTACTAAAAAAGTTATAATTATCTAAGCTTCATTAATACGTTTTTTTTTCGAACGTACAGCAATAGTCTTCATGTTGCACACATCTAGTTGACGTACACTTGTACTTCGCTAATTGAAGCATCGTCCCATGCCGTCATTAAGCAAATTTAACACACACATTAAAATGTAGTGGACTAAGTTTAATTTTAAGAAAAATAAGAATAGCCGAAGAAAGTGATACCTGATTTGTCGAAATTTTTAATCCCAACTAAGTTTACTAAAATATTAAAAAAATCAAGCGACCAACCATGAGCGTAATGTGTGGCCACTGATATTTCCAACACCGGCATCTTGCTGATATCCAAATCATTGAAATCCGTTCGTCTCTATAAATGAAAGTTTTTGGTGCTGCTTCCATATAATTCTTTTGAGGAAAATTTCTTGTAGCTATGTTCTCTTCATTTAATGAATTTTTTTCTTAGCTAGGACTTACTAATTCTGAAAGCTAATAAGTACGTGCACGAAAAGTCAGATTACTACTGATGATTAATTAATAGGAGTAAATAAAATAATGGAACACTTCTAGCCATATCAAATATAAAAAGTAAAATTAACCAACCCTTTTAAGAACAACCCAGAAATTCCGTTCCTTTGGAGCTTCGGCACCATATGTAAGGAAAACGAAATAAGTATTGCGCTTACTAAAAGCATCAGACTGGAACTTTGTAAATGACCAACTATCAATTTCAATATCGTCCATAGGTGTCAAGTGTAATGACATTTTATCAACACCACCCAAAATCGTAAAACTTAACCGCAACTCAGATTTCGACAACAAATGTTTCTCGACATTGTTGACTTTGATAGGACTAGCTATCCGTGGATGGCCAGGTAATGGTATCCAACGAGATTCCCTATAAATGAGAAATCTGAAGAAACTCCGCTGATCGTAAATATCAAGAAAAATGACGGAGGAGCATTCCAATAATTTCATATAATTTGACAACAGAAAGGTCATCAGCATGCCACTAAGTAGAGTGATTGAAATGACTTACTTTTATTTATTTGATGGTTCTACCATCATTGATTTAGATTATTTCTGTCAGCCCAAATAGAGACTAAGGGTTCTTATCAATAAATTAACTGGCAAGAACCTATAGTAACTTGTCTTTTTTCCATAATAAAATAAATAAAAGTAATTAAACTAATCTGATCGGTACCAGGCATCCTTTATATTCATTCTTTAAATTTAATTTATACGTATTTTGAAAATATAATCCTATACCGTGGAGGGAACAGCTGATGAATAGCTGTATAATATGGAAGACGGCAATACTCGTCCTTGATGCCAGTGCAGTTAGGTTCATTGTTTCCTAAAAATTATGCTAAACTGAGGACATCAGATTTCATTTTTTGGAACATCGAAAAATTGAACAGAGGATCGATGAGAGTTACCGGTTAAAAAAGTATGTTCAGGTAGGTCAGTGATACCACGATAATCTAATGTTTGTACAAATAATGCATGTTCCTGCACTGATATGTTACTTTGGAAAGGATAAATTGAACGTTCGGTATCCTGGAAAAAAACTTCATAAATGATAATTATGAGTTCCAAACTTCTCAAAACAGGATAATTTTTTACACTCGAGAATGATATTATTAAATTCTTTCATGAAAAGTTTTGAGATAGAAAAGACTTATACCAATGTAATAAGGCGTCTCAGACGAGGGCTTTCTTCGGAATATTTATAAGGCCAGCCAAGCCTTGTAGTAAACAAGGCCATAAAAAACAGGCAATACAACATTAAACCACATTTTAGGAGATAATCCATGCGACGGCTGACATACAGTAGATTACTCTGAAATAGTGATAGATTAAAAAAATTACATATCGAATCACATATTCATGAAAAGTTCAGGACCCATAGCCGTTCAATTTAGACTCACAAAGAAAAGGCAACAAGATGTTTGTTCAAATGAGAGAATATCTCCCAAATCCATGTAAAATAATACGTTCGAAAATATGACCAACACAAAAGCGTGTTTGGCCAGAATGCACATACCGTAAAAAGAACAAAGCATAATGCAACAAAGAGACTCATTAGCACGATAATTAATTCGGGATTAACTACTACACCCATACGTCCTGTAACCGGAACGAAGAAGTCAAAAAGTAACATTGCTGAATAAGCATCGAATACCATCACAGGAATAGTACACAGCAGTTGAGTAAATAACAACCATTCCGGAGAAATCCCTAGAAAAAAAACAAAGTTTCTAATATTTCGGAAATTTAACTAAATCACTATCAAAATTTATCGATCATGTTCAGTGAGGTATGCAACATCCTTAATCACTTTAAATTAAATCCCACCTTATGTCTATGAAAGGAAAAAGAAAAATCAAATTGAAAAATGGCTTCAACACACCATCACGGTAAAAACTTGCAACTCTTAAAACCCTTAAAACCACTGTTCTACTTAATTTTGTAAAAATTAGACACTACTTTGAATAAATAATTATTAAGATTAAAAATCACTTGTTATAATCCGCATCCTTCCCAGAAGCCAAAGCAATGGATCACGAAGCAATAAAAAGAAAGAGTTGTAAAGTAAAAAGGATGCACCAGCAATACCAGCGAATGTTGCAAGTGCCAGCCATGTTGAAAACAACAATAAAACACCATCCAAATGTACCATTTCTTGATTAGGTCTCTAAAAATCTCTTGTTTGTTTTTATGCATTATCAAAAAACTTTCTACATTTCAAATTTTACTATCAAATGTGCTCGCTCGTCCGAATGCCATTTGAATTTAGCGCTGTCAACACGTAACACTATTTAAACCATTTTTCGGGTACTTCCAGTATAATATGATATGCTTGAATAGTACCAATGAGTTGCTTTTCTTCGGTCATGCGATGAAGAAGTTTAGAAAAAATATGTATCAGTAAGTTTATATATTGAATAAACAACTTTTCCTATAGCATATTTGTTGCATAAATTACTGCAATTTCAATCAATAACTGCGGCAACACTCCTTCCTTAAGCTAATTTCACGATTGCTGCCAAACATTTTCCTCAATTGTAATTTGGCGTCTCTTAAAACTATCCTTTTTTTTAACATTAAGACATGGTTAAATGTATCCAGAAAAACATCCTCACGCTTCCTATTGGTTTTCAGTGTATCATGCTTGATGAATGAAAATGTAATAAGAAAGTACTTTATGTAATTGAGCTAAGATCGTATGGGTAGCACAACCGGCGATGAGAAGAGGAAATATGTAGAGAGGGAAAGCAAGTTCTGGAAGTGAATACCAGCACATTATCATGTCGAGTTTGGTCACTGCTAAGACAATTGATGCGCCTGTTGCTGGAAATAATGTTTTGTTATTCTTATTCCACTATACAAAACCCCTACAAATGTACTTTTTTTTTCCTGATACACAAAAGTACCTTTTTTTGTCATACGAAAGTAATGTTAAAGGTTAGTTTCATAAACCGAGATACATTGCGCGATATAAGGATATCGAAAGATAGAAAATGAATTTACACAAAGACTCCATATGTATGTACAATGAATTTATAAAGTAAAACTTAACGAAACCAGTAATTCATTAGAAAAAAAATACCTAACATGACAGCCGCTGCGATAATATGACCAAGAACTGCTTTAAATAAATCCATCAAATTATAAAATCCTTTTCTGATGCGATAAGCAATAACGACCAAAACTGCTCCAGCAGTCGCATAATTGAAAATTTGTCCGACAATTATTGAATAAAAACCGTAAAGATCCCAACAACGTCATAAAATACCCAACGGTTACCTTGCTCAAAATCACCTGGTTGATCCAGATATGGCGACTTTACCAAAGCCTTAATGAGTGGACAAATAAATCTAACATTGACATCGAACTACTTGATTTTAAATCGAAGTGAAGATCAAATAACGCCGAACGGCAACGCCGTACAGAGCAGTAATAATCATTATTTTTGCTTGTGAATTAAATATGTTAGAACATTACCTTAGCAACGGCAAGCAGATTCTCACCAGCTCTTTGAATACATCCTGGAGTGATGTATTTTGGAGTATCAAACTCCGTGTGATAAACCCACCCATTTCGAAAATAAGCAATATCGAGACCTGAAAAATTGCGAATTCGTTTGAAATTTGGCACTATTGGAAACAAAAACTAATCTTACCTGAAATACGACCGAAATCTCGGAAAACCCGAAAATCTGTATCAGATGGTATAATCCCAGCTTGAAATATTTCTTGCGCTAAAACACTACAGTGCGGATGAGGTGCATTTTCCAAATAGGTATGCAAAAGCCAAGAATTTCCTGGTCCAGCCTAAAAATATAAAAATACATCAAGTAACTGTAAAGAGTTGTCATATAGAGCTGAAATGATGCTACAAACACAAATAATACCTGAAACAGTATTTCACGGCCACCAGCGCCAGAACCCTCTAAGTTTACAAATGCTCGAACGGAATGTCGCCACGGGTGTTGTGTAATGAAACCGTGTGATGCTTGCAAAAAATTTTCCTCAGCTAAAATTAAAATTCGGAAAAATCTTTCGTTTAGATCAAACCACTAGCAAACAAATAAAACTGAATGCTGACGTCCGACCACTACACACAATTCGTATGCATCAAATATGGACAAGTAATTTCCTTGAATCAGAGTTAGATGGTACTTAATAAAATGATTGAATTATAGGAAATAGTTCAACAGTTAAAATTGATAACTACCTATAGAAGGTTTCGTCATGCAAAATTATCGATGATTCCTATGTTTTGCCTAAGAAACATACATATTATAGCTACTACTGACACTGATGAAACAAACATGTTTCTCACCTCCATTGAAAAGAAAAATTATATCATTTTGGAGAGATTCTTTTGAATGAGATAAGATATCCATAATCTCCATCATAACCGCGCAGCTCACCTAAAGCCAGCTTTTAAAATAACGACAAAACAAAATGTAGTTTCTATTTTTTTCCCAAAATTCATGTCGAAGATAATTTTCTTTTTTACACGGTAACAATAAGGAATAAATCGCTGACGATGTCGTACGTTAAATAATACCTCAAAAGAAAAATGTAAGCAAACAAACCATTGACTTGATTCAAAATTCAAAACTATAACGGTAATAGCAACGACAATACTTACGGCATCATCGGTAGCACCAGGTGAACCCGGAAACGTATCGAAATGACAATTTAGTAGAATGGAATGTTTTGGTGGAACCTTTGGTCCAATCCGTGCTAGAATTAAAAACATAAAGTGAAAAACTGGAAATATTCTCTTTGAATCATTAGGACGATCAACAAAAAACAAAGTCTCACCAATAATATTGGTTATTTTGTGGTAGCATAAGGTAAATGATGACAGGAATCCGAGATTAAAGCATCCGGATGGACGTTGAACATCAATCTCTAAGCGATTCACACCTCGAGCCTCAACTTCTGCTTCTGCATTTTTCAACCTATCATTTATAAGTTTAAATGCATGCACCTGCAATAAGTATATATTTTCATTCCTATTACTAGAAATCTTGATTTTGAAGATACCATCCATAATGCGAGTTCCTTTATCCTTCTTAACTATTTTTCCTTTGATGCCAGTCCCTCCACCCTTCTTAACTGTTTTTCGTTCTTTTTCTTGAACTGGAAAAAAAGTTACTTCGCAATTTTCCGAACCACTGGTACGTGGCCCAAGGTCTGTAAGTGATTGCAGCAACAATCGTGCTCTTTCTTCCGAGAATTCATTATACTGTCCTGCCGGCTTAACTTCAGGCATTCGATTATCTTGATAAACGACAAATCCATAAATCCCACTAATAACTGTTAAAATCAATAACCAATGTCGAAAACCCAGATACTGCGACTTCTACAATAATGATGTTTTACTTTTTTTTCGAGGGTATATGGTTCTGAAATTTCATAACCAAAGAAAAAAGAACCGGAAAAAGTACCTCCCAATTCGTTACACATTTTTAATCCTAACGGAAATGGTTCTATTTGGAGTGTAACAAATTAGAATCACGTAAACATATTATAGTAATGCAATGAAATTATAATTTCACTATAGCTGATGTCTTACCAATTAATTCTAATGAAAAATTCAAGTATATTGGATGATTTCATTCTGCGCTTGTATTTCTAACATTTTTACGTGAAATGATCGCAAAGATTCAACTGGTGATATGTCGTAGTTTTAGCAGTTAAACCAAAACGTAAAAAAAAGTAAAATCCTCCGAGAAATGAAACCAGAAAAGAAACCTTATCAATCAACCAATCAGCTTTAACGTCTTTCAGCATATTCCTTCTAATGCTAGCTTTAATATCATCTACATCTCGTGATATATTTCGCTGGCGTAATTCCATCCTTTCTCGTAATCCGATTCTTCAATTAATTTAGTATAACTATGTTTGAATCAGCAAACAAGGAACAGGAAACCCGGTAATGTAGAATGACTGTATGACTGTAGTTACCGATTGCAGCTACTGATTCATACTTTGTAAGTAAATAAAAAAGGTAAATAAAGAAGACTACAGCAAACTGTTAAATGGATTAAAGATATGTGAAAATATCGTAACAGAAGCTATTATAAATGATATTCAAAGACACTGCAATAAAACATGCTGCAAAAAAAGACACAAGGAAAACGATAAATAATATAAGATAAATGTAACAAGAGGAACAGAAAAAAAAAGTACCGTAAAAGTATCTTTTACAGTACCTTGTGGAAGACACTGTAAGGTTTAAAAAATAAGCAAGAATCATTGTGCAGTACAATAACGGCAATGTTTCAATTGTGATACTACAAACTGATACTACAACCTATGCCGTAAAGTGAAAGAAAACGATACTGTAAAGTAATATAATATGAAAAAACAGGCCAAAAGAAAGAAACAGAAAAAAGATTATTACAGACTTGGAAACTGACTAAATGACGAGATGAAAATAATAATACCTATCAATTCAGTAATACTACTAACTGTGCACAATAATGTAGTTAAAACTTCTCTTGAAAATTTTTTTAAAGAATGTAAATTAAATCGGAAAACCCTCGTAGATGTAGAATGGAATCAATAGTCACTAGCAAAGGGTCAGTAACCAATCGAACCGAAAATCGCAGTACTCAAACAAAAAACTATCTGAAATAGGTTCCAGAACCGTTGCATTTTCTAACGTCTCTCGCTTTGGCCGCAATATAGCTATTCATGCCGCCAGTTATGTCCTTTGAAATTTCAAGTTAACGAGGGAGTCCGGTCTAATGTATAGATGTTGCAGGTGTTTTGCGCGATGATACTATTTTTAGAAAAACAGTTACGAAAATATCGTCATGTGAGCTAAATAAAATTGTCATCCTAAAATTTCATTGAATTCAGAGAAGAGAAAATTGATTAATTAATGCCAGTGATGATAGTACCGAACAACTTTTGCGGAAAATATCATGTAGTATGGTTGTGACAATAGCTAAGCATTTATGATAGATAATGCTACCAAGAGTCAGATATATCCTAAAAAACTTCATGAGTCCGAAGCATTAGATCAGGATTTCAAAACTCCTTGGGATTTCAGCAGCTTTACCAGTTATGACTAGTGTGGCGTCCAAAATTTTGTCTTCATGAAATTGAATTAACTACTTAACTAACTATCAATATTCCATTAATTTTGTGCTATAAATGGCAGTCTTTGCTTAATGACTGATAGTTTTCACTAATGGACACTAAGAAAAAAAGGATTTAAAAGGAAAACAAAAAAGAAAACTGTTTGAATAATACTAAGTAGATGATTCTCGATGTTGATAAAAGTAACTAGTTTAGTGTAATTTGGCCATATGTTCTGAGAAACTTGATAATTTTTCGGCATTCATTTTTTATGCTACTTTATACAGTACATTTGTTAGTCCGTTTAAGAGTGTAGAACGAAAAAAGAAAAAATGGAGTCTGATGGATCCATCTTCATACCTTTCCTATTCTTCCCTCCCTTTCTCATTATGCCTAATTGGATACTGTTAAGATTTTTTTTTCAAAGAGCAGAAAATGCTAATAGTCGGTTGGTAACAAATTTTACGGAGTTTTTGTTTTATATTTGGCTTCATGCTTATTTCAACTCATTGTTGCGATTCTTCACTGGCTTGATTGGTTTAACTTCTACTTCATTTCATTTTTGACAATTCTTATTGCTATATGTCGAAGACTAACGTAATTGTAACGATTTTGGCAGTTCTACGACTTTTTTTTCTCGTTGGAAACTTTTTTTAGGCGACGAAATGGTTCGAAGGCGTTTCATGTCCAAAGGCAATGCAACGTTTGTTGATGGATTAGATAAAACCGTCTTGAAAGAAGTAAGTACTCTCTAATAGCGTAATTTTGACTAATCATTTGGTTGAAGATAAAAATGGAAACAAAAATTAGATAACTAAACTGACACTTACGGAGTAAAAATACAAATGTAAAGGTCAGGGAAATAAAATGTCTATTATTATTTGGGACTACTTTGTAATTGATATATGATAGGAAGATACTGTGGTGTCCTTATCAATCCGAAAATTTCTAATTTTTGTTAATATAGTAACTAATAATATCGAATGGGAATGGAATAAATGATGTTCAAAATGTTTTCTCTACATTCCTATTGACTGCTATCCAATAGTGAATTGTAAACTGCATGGTTACATTGTCATGTCATTAGAATAGTTCGGATTTCCCACCATTCAGCGCACCATCATCCAATACGCGGTAAAATTTTACAGTTTACTACGGAACATCTTTTGTATCGTACGGCTATTCTCGGTAACATATTGAATGATGTGTTGGATCAAGAATGGGACTCTAGTTCACGCAAAGTGAAAGGAAAGGAAGGACGACGTCGTGTTAAACCCATTGAACGAACAAATAGCAATGAAGAAGAGCTCGAATATCAACGTCTGCTCAGTGAAGTTTGTATTACAACTCTATGGTGTATAACCAACGCTATGAAAGCTTAATTATTTGGAAAGCTTTAGATTAATGACCAATGTATCATATTTTACCGTTACTCTTTCATGGGGAAATGAATATAATATGGTTCTAAGCTAGAGATCTAGCTCAGTTCCTATAATAACTTTCCGATACTTTGTTGAAGGTATATGATGATGATGATGGAAGACGTAGAAAAAATGAAGTAAAAATATGGAGTCATAACAGTTTTATTCATGTGGCCAGAGATGAAGTATTTTACTCAGTAGTAGAGTCAGAGGTAAAATATGTATAAACGATCGAAGAAATTTTTTTTTCTCCAGATTAGAGAAGCTGAGGAATACGAACTCATCGTTGAATATGACAGCAAGCTATGCAAAGATCGTAAGTGATATAAATGTTCGGTTTTAATTACTTGATCATCTAGAATCAGCAATTTGCATTGTAGTTTCTTAAGTATATCATCTGAAAAAGTACTAAAGTTGTGGAAGAAAAATTCTGTAATGAAGTTTTTGTGATTGGTAGTGCTTTAGAATAGTGCTCTACAGCGAAAATTTTGAACATTTGTAATCTCATCATGTTATTCACCAGTGAAGCTCCTTTTTGCTGGAAATTCCTTTTAGATTTTAATAATTTCAGAAGTATTTTGCTTGAACTGACAAATTAAATTGATAAATTAAATTGATTTGTTATCCATTGAATACCGCATTCTCTGAATATTCTAAATAAGTTCGAATCTTACAAATTCTGATGACATCTTAAGCACAAAAATATTTATTCATATATAGATCTTATTTACTCATATTTAGCTGCATATTATTATTACTTTATATTTCGATATTTCTGGCTATATATTGCAGTGGACATACTAAATGCATCTGTTTAGCCCACGGATAGTTCATTTTATGGATAGGACTGATATTGAGGGGATTTTGAAAAATGCATACTAGTGTTTACTTTTCGTCTTCCCATCAAAAATTCGGAGCTATTCACAGGATCTCGGAAAGCTGGTAGTAAATTGGCACAAGAAAATGAGATGGCCAAGAAGAACTGCAGCAAAACAAAACATTCTACTGATTTATCGCCGAAGGAAAATAAAAGCATAAATCAGCTCGGCATTGCAGGGTCACCTTTGATCTTCATTGTTCATCCATTCGAGCCAACTACATCAACCCCTCTTCAGGTAAATTTCTTGGTTCATTCGAATGGAAAGTTCATTGTGTAAATTCGATTGCTATAACCTGTAAGTTATTTAGGCCTCTCGATCTGTACGCTTACCGCGTCCTCATCATGATAATGCGCAGTTGAGTCCAATAATCCTCAAAAGGAATGATACTACCTGTGAAAGTACAGCACCGGCAACCTGCTTACAGTAAGTCGATTTCTTACACTCTCATGAAGTTTTCTTTTTCTGTAATGTCTGCGATTGTGGAAGGTCTTCTAAAATTTAGTTTTGATGAGAATGATGAAGTGGAAGGAAGATCAGATGTAGAAACGAATGGTCGCAAGCGATCTGCTAGCGAAGCAAGGGTTTCGTCAACGTTGCAAAAATCATCCCCTCAGCTTACAATTCTTAAATCACCTGGTCGATGGGGATTTCAAAATAAAGTAAGTGTTAGTAGTTTTATAAGCAAATTTTCCCTTCTGTTTATAAAATAAGCATTCCTTCTTATTTAGAGAAAAATCTTGTTTGGGTTAAAAATTGGGTAATAATCTCCTCGCCATATTGAAGTAAATTATCACAAATGTTTCTGTAAGTCGTCGTTTTTCGAGGTTATCACTTGGTGTTCTTTCAGGAATACGTGTACGAAGATGTCACGTCATCCGTGCAAGGTAATCTTTCAGTTACAATTTTAATATCGGATTAATTCAGTGATTTTTTGTAATTGTTTAAAATAAATTTTTTTTTCTGAAAAACAGAAATATGGAATAAAGATGGAGACAAGGAAGAGATAAGGTCTATTTAAATTCTGTTTATGTTATAATAAGGTTTAAAAAGTAATTGTAGTTGGGGTTCTTATATGCAGTCAGCATCCAGCAGATTAAAGCAAAAAGTCTCACAATAACTTTGAATATCTCGGTAAACCACCCACTTGCGGTATTACTGTACTATTATTCGTTGCTGTTGTCGAAAACTTGCGATTCTTGCTAAATTAGATTTCAGTTATTTCATTTTATTTGTTTCCAGCTAACTGCCATACTCTGCTTTGTGAAATCTTTACAATTTATGATTTGGAGAATTTTAGGTGATAGGAGTTTATCACTCTGTGATGGCGCTGGGGTATGTTTTTTGGTTTTACTCAAGTGAATTCTTCACTTCCCATATTACTCATTTATTAAGAAATCAGAATTGTAGCTGAAAATTGAAATTATGGAAAAGAAATCTTAAATTTTTCATCTGAAGATGAAGGAATGTTTTCTTCTATCCACACTTTAAAAAGGAGTAAATTTATAGCTCATATTTTGAAGGATAACAGGCCATTCTACTTAAATGGCTTTCCATGGACAGCACAGTATGCTCGAAGACGTGATTACAAGCAAGAACTTTTCTACCTTTGCGTTCAAAAAGGTGTTCAAACTTGGCGACTTAGAAAAGCAGTACTGTAAGTTATAATACTTTTGTCAGTATAGTTGTTTCTGAGGAAAAATCCAGTCATGAGAGTTTACACTTTTATGGGGAAGCAAGACTTGGTAACTCCTATGCTATAATCTGCTGTATTCAATTACTGTCTCAGAAATTAATTTCAGTGACTTATCGAATCCTGTAAAGCTTGGCGAAGGAACATTTGGCGAAGTCTTCCGAGTCATTTACAGCGGGGAAATTGTTGCACTGAAGGTAAGATTTAAAACTGCATGTCGAACTAGTTATTTTTTGCTGTCCTCTACCTCTGCTTCTCCTAATGTTTTTATTCAGGTAATTCCAATTGGTGGTACTAAAATGGTTAATGGAGATAAGCAGAAATCATTTCGCGATATTAGCGCAGAATTGATAGTTTCGAAGGAATTATCAGATCTGAAACATATCGAGGACGGGTATTCCACGCAGGGCTTCATTCATTTAAGAGGAGCTATGGTTGTCAAAGGTGAGGTTTATAATAAAACTAATGTATACAGCATATTCTATGATAGATTTAAATAGCTTTATTTGTTCCTTAAGTACAATTTTCCAGGGTCCTATCCAAGGTCTTTGGTTACCGCATGGGAGCAGTACGATGAACGCTTGAAGTCCGAAAATGATCATCCGTGCATTTTTGGCTCTAGCCAACATTTCTTGCTTTTAGCTTTCGAAGATGGTGGAGCTGACTTGGAGAAATATGTCGTATGTATTTTTGACTTTAATTTTTCAATAAAAAATATTCCTGAATGACATGCCAGTATGAAGCAATAATGAGAATAAGAGGAGGTGCTGTGCGTAATCCATTCCATGCTTGTTAGGAACCAATACATGGACGTGTTTTAATTTCTTAAGAAAAAGGAATTTGTTATAGAAATTAATTTGGAAGGTTCGGTTCATCGAAAAAAAAAACTTATAATAAGACTGTTTTGCAGGTCGCTAATGTTTTGCAAGCGTACAGCATCATCTACCAAATCCTTATGGCACTTTCCGTGGCGGAATATCGACTTTCATTTGAACATCGTGATCTTCATTGTGGCAATATTCTCATACGAAATGTGCAATCTGATACCGTTGTTAAGTGTGTTCTCATTGGATGGAATTATTTTATCTAATTTCATATTAAATTTCGTTTGGAAACTCTTGAAAAGAAAATTTCAGAGCAGATTATAATGGTAATGAGGTTGCCGTTCCTACATACGGTGTTGAAGTGAAAATTATCGATTTTACTCTCTCTAGAATGTCTAAAGGTGCGATAAATTGTATAATATTTTTAGAAATTTTAGGAGAATTTTAGAATTTTTTAGGAGACATAATTGTACAATATTTTATACTTCAAACTAGATTTCTTATATCCTTTTTAAGCTTGAGTTTTGAAGTGTTATTGGTTCAAAAAAGATGAATTCTAGGAACGTCGACGATTTTTTTTGATTTGGCGAAAGATGACGAATTATTCACAGGTGAAGGTTGTTTACAGTACGAGATCTATCGAGCAATGCGCGCGGCGAACAAGTGATAGATTTTCTCTTTAAATCTTTTTAACAAAATAATATGAAACACTATATAATGTGAAACATTTGATTTTTGAATATTCTTCACACTTTGAAATACCAACTTGTTAAATACTAGTCGATCTTTCAAATAACTTTTATTTATAAAATATTTTTGTATACCTACTAAATTTCTGAAATTTCCGAACATCTCTTAGCCTAGACTTTTGAATTGCATGATTGTGGCGAAATAAAAGATACAGATGTTTTTGTCATTTCAAAATTATTAATTAGGAACAATTGGTTTCCGTTTTCTTCGGTGACAAATGTGATGTGGTTAATATATCTTGTGCGCTATTTATACGACAGTATGGATGAAAGGAATATTGGTAGTCGGAATGAAAGAAAAGATTTCATTTATCATTTCAAAGATTTACATCGTTATGGTGAGTAACTTTGTTTGAATATAAGCTATTCTCTAAGCACAAAGTATGCATTAAACTATAGGTAATAAATAAAATTTTGTCAATGACACTTCGACTTTATATATATATAGAAGGCTAAGTATTTTGGTCGTTTGACCATACTTTAAAGTTCAGGTGTTATGTAAATTGTCGGTATTTTAAGTAATTTGAAACGGTAGACGTCGTTTTTCGTAATATCACTTGAGTATCAGTTAGTTTCAATTTGAATTCATTACAGCCAGCCTATCTGAATGGTTAGCAGAGAAAGCTAATAGAAGGAACAATTTTATAGTGATTGTCGAGGAAAGTCGAGAAAAGTGATTGTCGAGAAAAATTTTATAATGGTTGTCTAGGAAAACAGCGGGAATTTAAAATCTAAATTAAGTCTAATTAATGGAATTAATTATGACAATGTTTCAGTAGGTATTAATTGTCAGTGATTCGAATATATAGAAAACACATAGGCCGAATAATGATATTATGACTTTGTATAGCATGGCTTTCTATACCACGGTATCGGAAATCCTATTTCTTCATAGATCTCAGTGAATGTTGCTTTTGGCATATTCCATTTTTACTGCATTCCGACTTTTTTCAGTTTTATAATGTGTATGGATTAATATTGACATGAAAATTAATTCTTGCTCAAAATGAATTGATAAAGGTTGAGTGTACTATGGAGCTGAAAATTTACTTTTAATGATACCATTTTCATTCCTTATCCTCATTTCCTCATCTTCAAGCTATGCTGACTTAGAAAACAGCGAGAAAACGGGATGTTGAATGAAGTGATTTGCCTAGTCTATTTTATGAATTATATACTTATTGTTTATGGTGGTATTCTACACTATGAATTATTATGATTATCATGTAAACTGTGTATTTTATTTCTTGCATCATTTCTGATTTATTACAAAGGATATCACGGTTTTATATAGAGGAGTGAGATATCCGAAGTACAAAATCTTCACATCTTGCCAGATATCATATTGCTTGCAAATGGAACAATGATTCGCATTCTTTACTCCATTTTCAAATAACTGATTAACAAATTGTTGGTCCATTCATGTTCATTTTATTGTATGTAATGCTTTGTTGAATAACTTCGGTGAATTAAAACTGTAACCCATAAAGAAAAATAGAAAGTGGAACAGAATATGCAATAGAAAATATCAACCGATTCATCTGTGAAAGGAAAAGGTCAAAATCATTGTTATCATCCTGAAAAAGCAACGATTTTTGCAATTTATTTGAATGTTTTTTCCCTTAGGAAGTTCGAATGTCGGTAATGTAATATGGATAATAGTGTTTCGTCATGAAATAGTATTAACGTAATGTAATGAGTAAACAATGGATGTGATAAAATCTGAATCATTGGTGGAATAAGTCACTCAAACAAAACTTTTGCCTGGTAATGAATTGGTAATAGAAAGTGTTTCAAGTTGATGAAATCTCAATATTTTGAAAATACTTCAAAATTCCAGTGATGAGAAAATTCAACGTTGAATTTAGCATTGATTAGTTACTCCTACCTATCAGAGGAAACTGATAAGTAAGAATAACTAGTAAATGATTACTTCCGAAATATATAAAATATAAACATTTTTGGAAAATTTGCTGAAAAACGATATATAAATTCCAGAAATCATACTTTAATAACAAATAATAATCATAATTTCATATCGATTTTTAACCAGAACTTTGTTAAGGACAGATCAACAATAGGAAAGGAGTAAGCATTTCCGGTAGACATTTGTAGATGGCATCCACCTATGTGAAATGATAGATTCCGGTCAATGAAATCTGGTATAACTGAATAAGAAGCACTAAATATGCATTGTCACTCATGTTTATCATTGTGAGCACTTCGTTTTGTAACGATCATGAGAATTATATTAACCTGATGTTCATCCGGTAAGGAAAAGGAATTAAGCTCGTGCTTTTCACTGCAGTCCTAAATGTTAGAAACGGAATCATTGAAGCAGGAAAGAAATTGTGGACCCCATGATCTCTCCATTTTGAAAAAGTGATTGCGAAAAAAAAGAAAATCCAATTTTCATAAAATATAAAAACGAACAATTGTAAATAGTTGAGAAATGATAGAGAAAATTCATTGGAAATAATAGTGAGATAATATGAATTGATATGAGATATGATATTATGAATTGATATGTGAGTGGAATATAAATGATAATATGAATTGATATGAGATATGATATTATGAATTGATATGTGAGTGGAATATAAATGATAATATGAATTGATGGAAATGTATAATATATTGCACTAAAGAGAATGTTAAAGGAATTTGAGCTTTATGAAAAAATTTGAATTTTTTTTCAATAATTTTATTCTGTGAGAAATTGCATAAATTAATGCTTTTTGGTGAAAGGATGATGCTATCGCGATGTTCATATTAATGAATTCAATTTAATCAATATGACAATTTCCAGTCCAAAATTCAAGTAAGTATAAGCATAATTAATTAACGCATTAGTGTTATAAAAAATGACAGAATATTTGAAAAATTTAAATGAAAGCGATTTTTGGCTTACTCCCTTACTCCTCAACTATGATATGAACCTATTTGAACAAAATGTGACAAGAAAATTTCGAAAATCACGACAAAAAAATGTCAACAACTTTAATGATGACAAAGTGTGAAAGATATATGGAGTGACTGAAGTAGTTCATTGCTAACAAAACTGAAATATCGTTAATATAAGGTAGTAAATCATAAAAATCGATACGTCAAGTTCTTCGTGATATAGCAAGGTGCAATTTATAATGACAATTTTCTTTATTTATTTGGTTGATTTTATTTAATATTTCTTTTTGATATAAAATTTCAACGATATTAACTTTTTGCCAATCGATTTTATAGTATTAACTTTTTCCCATTTTTCTTTTTTTTTTTGATTTATTTGAAGAATTGTTTTTTCTTTGCTTTACTTTTACGTCTTGACAACAGATAAAAATATCATTGATAAAAGGTCAAAAATTAAGTATAATCATGAAAATGAAATTAGATATGAGTATAAAATAATTAGGTTTTATTATCAAATGACTTAAGATTACACTTTTAAATGTAATTAAGAAAAAAAATTCACAAGTCCAATCAATTTATATGCATTCACAAATATTTCTAAAATACACTTCAAATTTCACATTTTATTTAAATTTTTTTTCTTTTAACACTAACATATTATTTTTTCTTCGATTTAGCAAACAGAAAACGATAATTTAAAATGGTTTGCACATTAAAATTTCAAAAAGTAATACATTAAGCTAATAAATATAAAGCCACAATCAACAACAGTAACGGGTACTAATTAATGTTATTGGAATTAAATTCATAAAGCATTTCAAAATGATAATTTTTGCATATCCACTAAATATAACCATATACCTTATCATGATAAACCTTTAAATGATATCATTCCTTTCATTTATTGTAACTTTTCTCAATATATTATTTGTACTAATCATTTTTCTTTCCAAAATAATTATATTTTAAATTAATAAAATATTAGACAATGAATTTTAAAAATATTGTGGATAAAATCATTTTAAAATTATACC